GGCTGAGCTGTTACGTTTTTTCTACAAGTCATAAGAAATAGAAATGCCTTTGAGAACACTATTTATGTGAGCCATAAATGAAATACGTTTATCTTTAAAATGGTCACCGAAACCTTGTGTTAATTCGTTATACACTATTTTACCGTAAATAATTACTTTTAATCTAAAAAGGCACATCGATAACTCAATTCACTTAAGTAACTAAGTATTAAACAAAAAAAACTGTCCTTCTTTGTGGATATCGTCTGTAATAGTCTCTCCCGTGACAATGATTGCTGTAAAACATTCGAAGAATCAAAATAAATACCCGAAAATATCCGAAAAGAAATATTCCACTTTTCGGGATGACATTTATCCTTAAAACATAACCTTATTCGTTTAAAAAAAAAGAAATTGGTTCACAATTGCCGAATAACCAATTAAATTCTTTTGTTAATGGCTTCAAAGTGTGTCAGTTGCACAGAGATTACTTCACCAATGTCACGTAGAAAATTACCGAATATTTTGCATAGTAGGTACGAATAAAACAAATAAACACAAATAAAAAGTACGCATACCCGATTTGAGGACCTCCGCCAGTTGAAGTCGGTCAAAAATATTAAATTACTAGTTCAATGTGTATTTTAAGAGCAAAACTTTTACTTAGAAATGCAATACATGTACTCGTAGATAACTAACTTATCACTTACGCGATGAAATCTGTTATTGAAAGGAAGCCATGTAACAGGCTTTACTCCACTTACATATGAATCCCGTTAGGTGCTCGAGAAGCATCTATATTTTTAATATTATAAATGAGAAAGTGTGTTTGTTTGTTCATTTGAGATTCGAAAATAATATGAAAATTGATTCCTAATCGGCGAAAATAATATCGAATAGCAGTGGCAGCTCGTGGTAACGCGCTCCTTTGGAAAACCGAGTGATGCTGGTGCAAATCCCGCTGATATTTTCACGTGCGAATCATTTCCAACATGTTTACCACTTGTCTTATGGTTAAGAAAAACATCGCAAGGGAACCTGCATGTCTGAGAGAACAAGAAATTAAATTAAAAAAAACCAACATAACAACCTCTTTACTTCAGGCCATTTCAATAAGCCTAAAGACGATATGGATGCCATATTATTAGTAAAGAGTTGAGTATCAGGCCTAGGTTAACAATGTCATTAAAGTAACGAGATACCAAATTTCAAATCGAATATATCTGTTGAAGTTGTTCATATAATTTTACCGTATAGGAAATAGCTGATAGCCTGCAAATGGCTGAACCGATTTTTTCTATTTATAGCTAAGAACACTCTTAATCAGTACCTTTAAAAAAAAGAAGCTTAATTAAGATCGGTTCATTCGTTACGGGCTACGATGCCACAAATACAAACGTTAAACTTATAACACCCCTCTTTTTGCATTGGGGGTTAAAACATTTCTGTCATGTAAAACACACAGTGTTACTTTACCGAGTATACCTTCTCATTTTTTTTATCATCAGATTCATCATTACTATTTACTACCCATAGTTTTGTACTCTACAATGCTGTTTTACAATTTGCCTTCGCCATTTTACATAACAGGCAGTGTTTAAAAACAGGTGGCTCCGTTATTATAATAACGACTTATACGATATGCCTGCGACATGTGTACATATCAGGTTAAAATTAGTGGGTAGTAATATGTAATTTAAACACTGACCTACATCGGTCGCCATATATTTATTATTAGTATTAGGAGTTTCTCAATAAAAACATAAGGTCTTTTACATTTCCTTTTAAGAGCTTATGAAATTCTATCAATATATAGTTTAGTTACGAAATATTTTTCAACCATTGAGAGCTTTCTGAAATAGAAATCGTGATATAGAATACTAGGCCAATTCTATGGCATTTTGGCGACCTTGACAGCGCTCACTTCACACAATTGAAAATCCCTAAGACGTTTATGCTATACTTTTCCCACGGGATACCATTATTCTCATTAGAATGACTGCAATAAATACTATTGGAAGTACTGGAATATATTATATATAATATATTATATATAATATATATACATAAATAGTATGTCATTCTGCATATTACAACTATGTGTCACTATGAAAAAGATTGTCAGTGTTTGAAAGAATAACGTATTTAAAAAATCTAAATTACTAATTATTAATATCGTAATATTCTTAATTAAAAGGCAGAATAATATTGTTTCGATAAATAACTTTTTTATTTAAATTAAATCATAAACGACAGATCTAATGCAAGAAATTATTAATATAAGCATCATTACCGTTTTAAATTTAAATCTATAAAAATACAGACAAAATGTGTCCGACTTTTATATAAATTCCAGTAAATTGAATATGTTACATTGCCAAATAAAACCAGCAAGATCTGAAACATTTTTTGGCACATGCTCAATTTTTTTAACATATAGGCTTAACCTTTTGTTCAGTTAGTAGCTAAAATATAACAAAAATAAAAATGTGTATTACTTATTTAGTATCAAATAAATCATGAACATATTAGGCAAAGATTATTATTATTATTTTATATATTAGGCAAAGATATCTGTATATAAAAAAATCAATCATATTAAGAATTTCACTATGAAACAGCTAACACATTATTGTTGTATAACACATTAAGTTTGATAAGAAAATATTTCAAACTTTAAGAAAAGACAAATAATTTTGAAAGAGATCAAATAAAAAAATATAATATAATAAATAATTACTGGACATTTGCATAGATATTACTGTGACAGTTATTAAATGTTCCACATAACAATAATTATTATCATCATTATCAATATATGAATAACAAGAAAGAACTTGGGTAAAGCCAGAAAGAAATATTAATATTAAACAATTATTGACTGAGCGAGAGAAGCGTCTTTGCTTCAAGTCTGGCAAAATTTGCTTTCCTCTGTCAGTTCATTAGTACTCTACAGGTTTTATTTTACAACCCATGTGGACTAAATTTGGTATACAGGTTTTAAGATTTTATACTAATAGATTTTTTTTGTCATCGGGGATTTTTGATTGGTGGGGTACATCCTCCAAAAAGGACCAAAAAGGATGCTACTGGATATCTCCACCTTATGAGATACAATTTCAATGGTTCTTTTTTTATTTGAAAGGCAGTAACTTTAAGTTGGTCTTATGAAAATTTGGTGAAGATGTGATGAGGATCTTCTGCGTGACAAGTAGTATAACTCCTCAAAATGCAGTAAATTGTTCAATTTCAGATTTCTACCAGTGGAATCGACCGTTTAACTACTTTGTATATTAATTGTTGTAAAAAGTTTGTGCTCACGAGGTCTACTGTTTGCAGAACTAGTAGTTTTGTATAATTCTACAATTTAGGTATTTTATCTTTTAACAAAAGAAACATTAAGACATACTTAATGATTGATAATTTATTAATTTTGTCCTAAATTATATTATTTTACTTTTTTAATTAAAACAGAATAGAAAACCAGTATACTAATTATTAAAAAAAACTTGTTATATTTTAATAAATTTTTGACATAATATAAATTTAATAACAAGTTTTAAAACATGCAAACAAAAACCCAGTTTCAATAATCAGTTTTATAGATAATATATAAGTGACCTAAAGTTATGCACTGGCCAACTTTCACTCTGCTTTCCATAGCTAAAATTTAATGCAAATACAAGATAATTGTAGAAGCAGATTTTATATTTGACAACAAAAGAAGATTTAATAAATTGTTGAATTATTCTGTAGAGAAACTTTGTATTTAACACTTTGTTGTTCTTATCCAAGATTATTATAATTTAAGAACAAGAAAGAATAATTTTATAATATAATGAAGTAAATTTGTTTATGTTATAAATCAATCTTAATTTTATTTGACAATATTTAATCATATTAGTAATAATAAATTAATATATACATATTATTATGTTACGATATCATGTTACATGCCATAGATGATTATCTGAAGTAAACAATAAAAATTGCAATGTCAATAACATTTCTATTTCTTAACCCAAATTATACAATTTTAATAAAAGCTAACCTTAATGGCTCATTGAAACAAAAAAAAATACTTTCAGAACAACAATGTGAAGTGATTTTAAAAAAAGGTTCAATATTAATGTTTGTTAACGCGCCAAAAGACGACATCGAAAGACAAAAAAGCTTCCGTATTGCATTGTAGGTTCGGACGACAAAACTTCATAACTTCCTACCCTTGGAACTATATAACCAATTACCACCGCGTTTATTATTCGAGTTTATACCAGCGGCTTTCAAAGTTATAAATATTATTGTACATACTAGGCAAACGCGAGGTTACGTGCAATATAATTGAGGCAGATACGGTTGCAATTATAATAGCCATTTAGGCAACCGACACTGGAGAACCCGGTGTCCAAATAAAGACAGATATGAGTACTAAAACCATGAATGTAATACTGACCTGTATGAAAATAGTAATACGCTGCCGGGACTTCGATAAGATTCCATTCAGTAGTATGCCAGATAATAAACACAAACGATAGTAAATATAGTTTATTTCACACAAAAATCATACAGTTTTTTACGATTTTCTTTTTGTGACACTCGCAAGACATCACTGCGCTGACCGCTGGAGCACGACGCGTATAGATAATAGAAAAAAATTAAGACAACTTGTTGAACCACAGACTATTTACATAAAAATGCAATTTATTTAAATTATTTTTAAACAGTTTTTTAGTTTCAGTTAATTAATTTTTTTTATTGGTGATAATGTTACGAAGCTTTGTTATGGTTCAAATATAATAAATACGATTAATTGTAATATATATGTATATTTGAAATATATTATACTAATAAAATTCCACACTGTGTACATAGTGACATTTCTAACGTCAAATTTTACAAATTGATAAATCGATGGGTGTTTCGTGAGAATAGTTTCTTATCTCATTACATTATCGGAAGCTTTATTATTTATAAATGAAGTAGCGACTGCTATAATTGTATCCTACGACTTTAAGTGAACAATGATTAAAGCAATTTTAGTCTTCAATAATCATGGCAAACCAAGATTATCCAAATTCTATCAGTACTTTGTAAGTGAAAGTTAATGTATTCACATTAATGTTATAATTATAGGAGTTCCTATTTAAATAAGACCATTAAAATTTACACATGTTATTTATACCTATGTCTGTATTTATTGTCAGTAATATTAAAAATCTAATTTCAGAATGAAGATATGCAACAGCAAATAATAAAAGAAACATTTCAACTTGTATCTAAAAGAGATGACAATGTATGCAATTTCCTTGAGGGTGGCAGGTTTGTATAGACTTTGTTTATCATTTAAGTATTATAAATAGTTCTAACTACTAATTTGCCCATTAATGACTTTCCTTTATTATAAATAATGAAATAATTAGGTCTATTTAAACTACCTACTTTTCATTTCATATCATTTAACTGATATTATGTTGCAAGCAAGCTAATAATATCATACTTAATATTGCGAATTATATTTTTTCATTGTAAATGATTAGATAGTATTAGGTTAAGTTATTTTAATATTAGGTTAAGTTTACTTTTTTAGTTAGGGTATGGAAAAACATGATTTTATTATTTTTAATATTTTAATTGTTAATTTCTTACACTATATCAGTTAAATTGCAAATATTTATTACTTTTTAATGTTATATTTTATAATGTTATTTTCAGCCTCATTGGTGGATCTGACTACAAATTAATATATAGGCATTATGCCACTCTATACTTTGTGTTCTGTGTAGATTCATCTGAAAGTGAGCTTGGAATTTTAGATCTTATTCAGGTAATACTTATTGTATAATATTACTCATCTATATAAATAAAAATGAATAGCTAAATGTGTTGCTAGGCACAAAACTTGAGAACCACTGGACTAATTTGGCTATTTTTTTTATTTAAATATTCGCTAAAATCTAAGGAAGGTTCTTATGAAGAGAAAAATTGGAAAAAATGCCCGAAAAAATGTAAAACATCATTTTTCTAATCGGAACTGCTACTGGGCCACTAATTTGACAGAACAAGGTCTGTCGGGTCAGCTAGTATTTTATATATTTATATTTTACTATTGGCTCACCCTCACTTCGCTCAGGTTCTAGGTATGTAAAATTATTACAAAAAAGTCCGCGATATCATATATCTATCTTAAAAGGTGGACACTATAACCACTTTAATTGTTCTCAAATTGGTTCTAAAATAATGTTTTATTAGTGAGGGTGCTTTTACTGGTGTAGTCTTAATAAAAAAAATAACCAAAAATATAGTTTTACATATATGTAAATAATAATATAGCTTTTATTTCCGAGCTTACTTCCTTTTTATAACTCAAATATTTCTTAACTATATTTACAATAGGTCTCTGTCTGTGTCCCTCGGTGTGCCTTGCCATCTTTCACCACTCTACCAAAGGGGACCTAAGGTCATGTTCAACTGATACTCCCATCTTCTCGTTTTGCGACCTCAGCCCCTAAAGTCATCCCTTGGGTACCAAACTGTCACCATTTTTCATGTAATGTAAATACAATTATTGAAATAGAAATTGCATTGTAATTTGTAAACACTTTTCAGGTATTCGTAGAAACATTAGACAAATGTTTCGAGAATGTGTGTGAGTTAGATCTCATATTCCATGCGGATGCTGCACACCAGGTGTTGGACGAGCTGGTTATGGGGGGCATGGTGTTGCAGACCAACATGTCAGATATATTGTGTCGATTGCATGAGCAGAATAAGATGCAGAAGGCTGAGGTGAGTTTTAAATTTTTAATAAAACTATCTTTTCTGATTTTTTCACGGGTTTATTGTGATTGTTAGTACCTGACGTTTCAAATGCTTTACAGACTCTTGTGTTACTAATAAAAGCGAATTTTGTTTTGCAAGTCTTCATATAAAAATTGGTATCAAACTAGCTTGAACGGCTTAAGCGAATATATTATTTAAATACTTTCTTCTTATTTTGCTTCCACTATGTCTACACTAAAAATGGAAAAATAAAAACTTTAAAGAAAATAAAAATTGAATATAACATAAATAAAAACGTTAGAAATGGATTTTAGAGCCTGATTACTAATAAAAGCGAATTTTAGTTTATCAGTCTTCATATAAAAATTGGCATCAAACTAACTTAACTGGCTTAAGCGAATATTTTATTAAAATATTTTCTTCATACTTTTCTACTGCAATGTCTACATTAAAAATAAAAACTAAAAACCTACAAAAAACTAAAAATTAAGAAAATAGTTGTTCAGTAAATAAAAACTACCAATTTGTCATTTTTGAATTTTTAGTGTTTTTTAAAGTCGATTATTTGTGTATTTTGAAGTCAGTTTTTATTTCTTTTTTAAAAGTTTTATCTTTTAACTGACTTCAAAAAGGAGAAGGTTCTTAAGTGTATACTTCCATTTGGTCCCATTTAAATTTAAAATAAAAATAACCTTAGGGGTTAGGGTTACGGTGGAAAAATAGCTAATCAAAATTTAACCTACTCCTAATATGACCAATATTGACTTGAAACTTTGCAAATGTTTCTATTATCGTTGATAAGTCAGTGGTTGGCTGATCTGATGGTAAGGTCAGAAGGTGGATAGATGGAACTCTTCAACGGCTAATAGTAGATACATACTTTGAGTTTGGGCTTATTTTGTTTGATTTGACAAGCCCAATACATTAGAATTAGATTTTAGAGACAGGATTTTAAATGTTACTAATAAAAGCGAATTTTATTTTGTCAATCTTTATTCTTCATATAAAAATTGGCATCAAACTAACTTAAACGGCTTAAGCGAATGTTTTATTAAAATACTTTCTTCTTACTGTGCTACTATTATTTCTACACTAAAAGTGGAAAAATAAAAACTTAAAAAAATAAAAATAAAAACGGACTACAAAAAAAAACACTAGAAAGTAAAAATAACTGATTGATAGTTTTCATTTACTATAGACACCTAATAACATATTTTCGAAGTCGCTGTGTTTTGATTTGTATAGGCTGGCACCTATTTCTTAATGTATGGTAAATGAGAACTACCAATCACTTATTTTTTACTTTTTAGTAGTTTTTTTGAAGTCGGTTTTTAATATATTTTTTTAAGTTTTTATTTATACTGTATGCGAAGATGGTGCATATAAATTAAAAAATATATATTATTTCCTCAACTATACTAATATTATAATAAAGAGTCGAAGTTTGTATGTTTGTAATTTGGATGTAGGAGGTAAAAGTTATTTTTGTCGATATTACACTGTTAAAAATGCGAATGTTTGTGTGTTACAACTTTACTCTAAAATAGCTGAACGATTTTGCTTTTGAATTACCTTCCAGGCTGGCATATCTGCAGCCCCAGCGAGGGCAGTGTCAGCTGTGAAGAGTATGAATCTACCGCAGCAGTTGAGGGACATGCGCTTGCCTGACCTACCGCAGGCCATCAAGGTTTGTTTGTTGTTTTAATATTAAAGTACCTGGGCTACCGAGCTTCGCTCGAAATTTTTGGCCTGAAGTACAATTTTCTTTTTTTTTAAACAAAAAACTTGAATAAATATTTAAAAAAAACAAAAGTAAAAGCTTTATATGCGACCGATATTCGAACCTCCTGTGATTGTTGATCTTGCACCTTGGCCGCTTGACCACATTATTGACCATATTTTGCGTGGAATAATGCAAAAGAAAACAGCATGAAAACCCGAAAGCACGCGTTTTCTCAGACATAAGACTAATCTATCGATCGATTTATCGCCTCCGAAACCCCCTATACACTAAATTTCATGAAAATCGTTGGAGCCGTTTCCGAGATTCAGATTATACATTATACGTAGGATAGTTTTTATCCCATTATTTCCTTTATTTTAAATTAACGATTTTCATGTGTGCCGCAGTGACGTGTGGCCGGGGTGCTAGTTTTGTATTTTTGACGACACGTTTGGCTCAGTTTATAGTGGTCCTTCTTGCTGTGCCAGAGGTCGCAGGTTCATCATCACTCATTCATTTGTGTGATAAAAATTAAAGGTGATTTTTTTTGCATTTATTATTTATTTATTCTCGTAACATTTCCAGGATCTGAAATTCTGACCGATGCAGCAGGCGTATCCCGCCACTCCCGTCGCGCTTGCCACCAACATCCTCCATACAATATATCCGCAAAACGAGAAATATCAAAATTTACAACGCCAAGAGAATATCTCCAACAAATTCTTCGGTTCTGAATCACTGAGCACAAAGTTTTCAGAAACTTTCTCCGAAAATTATCAACAAACAGACGGAATAAATGTACCCAATTATGAATCGAACAAATCCGACGGGTATCAAGATTTAAGCGGGACGGCTGTATGTGAGTATACTGATAGAAAGAGAAAGAAGAAGAAGAAGGCAAAACATTAATATGTATATTCTCCATTAAAGTATAAATAAATGTTTTAGTTTTATTTTATATATACGTACATTAATTGAGTATCAGACACCACCAATCAATTACCATACAATTTATGTTCTATCAAAAGGATATTTCCCCATACATCGTGTATGGCGATAGCAGCCCGTGACCTATTACCAACTCAATAACCTATTATATAACATAGTATACAGTACATCACGCCTTTTTTCAATGAATAATTGCAATTTTTATACCACTTCATTTGTAACACAATAGTAATATCTTGTTTCTCGTTTTATTTCTTGAAAAAAAAAATAGCTTGTTTTTAATGAACTAGCGACTCGCCCTCACGTTTCTGTTTGATCTTTCGTTTTGACACTTAGTATCGAACAGCTCTTCTTTTTTAATTTTTTTTTTTCGTTAATTTTTCTGATGGTTTAATAGTTATTCTGCTATTCCGAGTGAAGACAAATCCAACAAAACAAAGATCATCAAAATCGATTCTAGAGTTATAAGTGTTGTAACAAACCCGATTTTGTTATAAATGGGTACATAGAATAAGAAAAAGACGTCTGTATTGTAGACTATAACTATTTATCGTTTACAAAGTAATAAAAAATTTAGATTTTTGATTTTACAGTTAATTTAACTTATTCGGATTTTCAGAGCTAAAATAAAGTTTTTTTTTGAGAATTTGTGTCTTGGAATTATTTTATGGTGTCGATTACTCTAGTTATAATTATTAATTAAATATATATTATGTATATTTATATACATAGTTTAATTTTTTCTATTAAATATTTTGAAGGATTTTGTTAATTTCATTTAAAGTAATATATTCTGTCTCGAGACTTTTTATTTTGTTTTTTTTTAAGTTATCATATGGTAATAATTGATGAGTCACAAAGTACATGCTACCTTCTAATAAAGTTTGTTAGAAGTAGATTTTCCACATTTTTAAATAGTTAAAATTATTATGGAAACTGAAGGTCTTTTTTTTTATTCTGTTTTTTGTTTTTGGTTCAAACTAAAGAATTGCATATAAGTCCGCGAAAACAAAAAAAAAAGCTGTTTATGCTACTATCCTCGATTTTGCCATACATATCGTTTTACTTTCTTTAAACAATTAATTGCCGCCATAAAAAAGAAGGCCACAACTTCGTCTAAGTTGATGTCGAGATATTTGAAGTTTTATCTCAGTACTTAGTAGTAGTTTGTACGTAGTTACGATGAAAATGGTTACGGTATCTCCAGATTCATAAGACTTAGAGCTTTACGAGTGATACTATCAAGTAGCATTTTTTTTGCTGATTCCGAATCTGAATTTAAGTAGTTTTTGACCGAATTGTTAGTTAGGGCCTTCTTTATTATGACGGCAAAATAAGACATTATATATCTGTATTAGTTAAGTTAATGTACAATTTTTGAGAATAAAAGGTTAATAATAAAAATAAATACTATAATATTCTTTTGTATTTTTTAAGCATTATTTCTCTTTGATTAGCTTATAATATAAGATTTTTTTTCTTTATTATAATAAAATCCGTTAGCCATTTTTATGTATTAACATATATTTACTTATCACTCAGTATACAAATAGCCATTTGTGTACTTTTCTAAAACATAATGATTTGGCTTCATGTTTAGTTCTATGACACTGTCTATATTGTATGTAAACAAAGGAATGAGAGAGCTACTGATATCAAATTTTAAAATTGGACTGCAAATAGAAGGCAGATATAAAGGTATACATATATTCAATTTTTCTTCTTGTTTATTACTTGAACATGGTACGCTTCCCACTTAAATTTGTACCTTATTTTGCACTCCAATATTGGAATTGAATACTTCACATGTACTTTTGTGTTTAGAGTATATGAAATATATTAATTAAATGTCAATAGGAAATGGGTTTTATTTTATTTCTCCTCATGTTAGAAGTATTTGGTAAATGTTTATTTTTCAACCGACTTCTTCAAAGAGGAAGAAGTTCTCAATTTGATTTCTTTTTATGTTTGTTACCTCAGAACTTCGTCATTCGTCAAGTGTTTCTATTTCCGTTGATAGTTCAGTGGTGCGGTATCGTCGTCCTGATCTGATGGTAAGGCCAGAAGGTGGATAGGTGAAACTCTTCAACGGTGGCTAATAGTAGATAATACTTTGAGTTTGGGCTTATTTTGTTTGATTTGATAAGCCTAATATGTTAGAATTTGATTTTAGAGCCACATTTTTTAGTGTTACTAATAAAGCGAACTTTAGTTTGTCTGTCTTCATATAAAATTGACATCAAACTAACTTAAACGGTTTCAGCGAGTATTGTATTAAAATACTAACTAACAAGTTACACAAACTAAAAACTTTTTAGTTAAAATGAAAATTGTATTTTGTGTTCTATCGATTCGTAAGAAATACTCAGCCAATTTATATCAATTTACATTTCCATCATAATCAAGTGGATTGCTTTTACGTATATTAAAGAAAGGCTGACCTTATTGAAACAGTAACTAAATAAAAATATTATTTTTATTACTGCGGCTATTGATTATAAAATATATATTTTTTATATTTTTAATCTTAAATAACAGAAATTATGATATTTGGGGTTCTTCTGGGTTTGAAATAAAAAAAGATCTAACGAGAAAAGCCTAAGCCTACGTTATCCAAGTCGAGTCTGTCACATATTCGAAAATTTAAACTTACAAAATACAAATAACTAATTTTTTTTTCCAGATGCTTTAAATTTAAAATACAAAACAAAAAACAAGATAAAGTAAGACGGACAAATAATTATATATTAGTTCTACAGTCAGTGGATTAATAGTAACTTTCTTGGAGAAAAGACGCCCATATTTTAAAAAGTAAAGTATACACATTACACAGAGTAATGTAATTGTTTATGATAATCAATTGTTGGTACAACGCCATCTGTCGAATAATTTCTGTAATAAATTATACAATATATTCCAATAGATGTCACTTCATTTTGAAAGATTTTAACGCCATCTAGTAAGAAAATATTAGTTTGAGCTACTGAATACTAGGTGGCAGTAATATATTATAAAAACCCATAAGTAAAGCGCCATCTAGTTTAATAATCAGGTAAATTATGATACGAAATTCTTAAACTAAACATTTAATCTATTTGACGAAAGATGGCAGTTATTTATTAATAATAAAATTATTTTAATTAATATAGCCTTAGTGACGGCTAATATATTATATAAGCAATATTAATTAATAAAATAATTTCTTTTTCCTTTAACTATTAATGTAAATTTTAAATAAAATGTTTATCATCTTAGCCTCTCTACAATAGATGTCACTACTATATTCAAAATATAGCAACTTTTATCATAAACAATTATTACCATAGACTTACGAAACTTTTGTAGACATGGCAACTCATGGTCGTTTACACAAAAATAATATTAAATTAATTGCGTTAGGCATTTAGGAGGGGTTGGTTTAAATTAGGTTAAAAATATTTCTCTACTAAAATATGGCTAAATCATAAATATAAATATTTATCACGGATAACAAAGATAAGTACGATGTATTTACAATTTTCACTGCAAAAAAATCTGCAACCTATTACAACCATTGTTTTATTATTAATTTTATTTTCTCCATATTTATATAAAAAATATTAATTAACTTGATCTAATGGAATTTTCTATTGAAGTTAAGGGTTATAAAAAGCGTCAAATTAAAATGTTTATGGTAACTTTTTATTCAACAGTCTAAACAAATTTATTAACAGTTAATAAATAGTGTTTATAGAACGATTTGTTTTTTTTTCGCTGTAATTCTAGAGTACGTTTTTAGAAATCTTGTATAATAGTGGAGTTGCTATAACTGCCTTCCGGTTCCATCGCCAGATCAGCTCGATGGTATCGAATTACTGTTCATCATGCGGATGTATATAAGTATTTCTCGTTAAAATCAATTTCCAAAAAACTATGTAACATTTGAATATACTGTTAACTCGTTGGTCTAATGCCCGATTTCACCAACATCACTTAAGCTACCACACCACCTACGTATGGGATCCCTAACTTAAAATTTCTTTGTTCTTTCTAAATTAAATTTCGTTTTACCATCGTCAGAGCTCTTATTTCTAGTACCTATATTTAGGTGGCATTTTAATATTTAGGTGACCCCTAACTGTCGATGAAACAGAAACTGTCCCCTAACAGTCCCCTAACCATGCTTAGGGAATCCCTTAAACTTAGGTGACGTTGGTGAAATCGGCCTTAAAACTAGTATGTTCTACTGCAGATCCGACGTTTCTAAGTTCGAGTCCTAGGTAGCGTGTAAGTGTAGTTATTAGATTTCTCTGATAAGAAATTATCTGTAGACTCTCAGTTCTCTTTTCGGTCGGATTTTCGAATTTTGGCCTATGAGAGTGACAGCAATACAGAGTGCACGTTGTGCCAGCACTATAATATCTCCTGCAGTTGGCTAGTCTCACAATCAGTGAGATTGGCTGCCGGGGTCGAAATCGATCAGGAGAAATTTATCATTATTAACAAGTGAAGCTCATAAATGTCTTAAATAAAAAGAATCAATTTAATCCGTACAGAAGCTACCAAGAACGTTGCTTCTAGCTATACCTTCACTGTCTTACTAAGAAAACTGTAATCGAAACCTAAGCAAAATAATTTTTCATTTCTTTTATTTATTTCAGTAATGACAT